CCATACTTGTCAAAAGTGAGATGTACTTCAAGTTTAGACTTGTGAGAATTCTCTATTTGTATCTCTTTTCAATTAGTTTGGTGTTTACTAAAAAGTGGCTCTTCTTCAGTATTTGGAATCTCTACTGTCCTTTTAATTTGGTTTTCTGCTTGCTAATGCAGAGCAGGAATGTGTCCTAAATTCCTGTACCAGATGGAAGAGCTTTTAACATCCCTGCTGCAAAGCATGTAACAGGGCTTCTCTTTTGGTACCAAAACAATTAACATCATGTAAAGACCCAGGATGCATGGCTTGTTTGTCCTGTTGCTTAGTAAGGCAAACATATTTTCTATTGCTTTCTATAGGGGACTCACACAGAGTTTTCATTGTGAAATTATTTGTATTCTTAGTCTAGATTTAAACATGCTCAACAATTTAATTCATATGTAGCTACTTAGGACTAAAGTCCTTGGTTATTAGTAAACTTGATTGTGGAAAAACCTTTAAAATATATACATTTTTTATTGATTTTAGAGAGGAAAGGAGAGGGAGAGAGAGAGGAAGGGAGAGGGAGAGATAGAAATTTTAATGAAGAGAGAGAATTATTGATTGGCTGCCTCCTACAGGCCCCACACTGGGGATTGAGCCCGCAACTCGTGCATGTACCCTGATTAAGACTCGAACCTGATTAAGACTCCTGGTTCATAGGTCAATGCTCAATCACTGAACCACACCGGCTGGGCTGGAAAAATCTCTTTTGATTAGAATTAATAGAGGGCTCAGAGGGAATAAATAGTGATGGGGGGGAGGAAAAATAATCTTTCATTATAAAAGAGAATAATTGAGATCTTTAGTTTTCCAGTTAATTTGAGGATGGGAAAAATAGTTTTGTGGAGGACACTATTGTGTGTGTGTGTGTGTGTGTGTGTGTGTGTGTGTGTGTGTGTGTGTTTAACATAAGAGTTGCTCATTTAACTGATTTTTTTGCTTTCAGTAGCTAGATCAAGAATTAAATAAAAACCTTTTTATGTTTTTCCATGCAAGTGGTTGTTTATTTAAGTCTCTGTTATAGTAGGTTGTTCAAATCAAGATATTTGCCCTGCCTTGGAGAACTGAAAATCAGACTGTTCTTTTAATATGAAAAACAATAAGACTGTGGAATAAAGTGTCTAAAATGAATTACTTTTGATAATTGAAAAATGATAATTTATTATGAACTAAGCACTTTATACATTTTTCATCTATTACTCTTCAGAACAATCTTATAAGCAGATTCTATTATTAATTTCAATGTGTTGATGATGAAAAGGAGGTGGAGTAAGTTTAAGAAACTTTGCATGGTAACGGATGGAGTTAGAATTTGATATTCACTCCTTGCTACTCAAAGTGTGGTCCCTGGACCAGCAACGTTGGCATCACCTGGGAGCTTGTTAAATATGAAAATCTTGGGCCCCATTGCAGGCCCACTGAATGAGAATCTGACCTGCAATTTATCAAGATCTACAGGTTATTTCTCTGTTCATTGAAATTTGAGAAGTATTGCTATAGTCTTTATTCTTTTTT